CTGTNGATCTGTCTCACTAATATGCGAGTCATGCATCATCAGCGGTTAGAATATTTAGTTTACAATAAAAAACATTAAGAACTGTGGATATCTTGAACATTAGAGCTGAGAAGCTCTCGTGAATCTCAATATATTGATACTGCCTTCCCCATGAATGTTCACCCATAAACATAGATCTTCATTTGCCATGCAGTATAATTACAAGATAAATACAAGGATCAGTCCAACTGATAAAGCAACAGTGTAGCAAAACACGTCTCAAATAAAATTTATTGTGAAAATTGTATAATTATTTCCATGGATAGAAATATAATATGCTGACTTATTGTGGATTATTAACTAGATTAATATATTTTTCAAATTGAAACTATTTTGTTGTATAAGATACAAACTAAATGAAGTTAAATTAAATTCTAAATATTTTATATTGATATAAATATACTTATATCTATCAAATCATTATATTTTGTGTGTGATATATTGTTTTTCAATACAAAGTTGAAGGAATACTTCATCCAAAAAGAAAAGTTAAGTGATTGTGATGTATTTCAACTAGTTTTGACTACTAGTTTTTTTTTATTGTATGTTTTCTATTTTTCCAAAATGTGACATTCTCCTTGTTACTGCACATTATTTCGCTGTAAAAGAATTGAACAATTTCAATAAGAGAAATATTATGTATGGTTTTGGTTACTCATTTTGTGTTCTGTATAAATTAAATTCCTGAAAATATGTCACAATACAGAAAATAATTTCTGAAACTATATTTTTAGTACCAGAATTTTTCTGGTTAAATTTGTCAGTTGAGAAAGCAAAATTATTATATTTGTCTGGTATGAATCATATTCCTAAAAATATGTCACAATATCAAAAATAATGATAAATTGGTTAAGGCTTTCGCAGCCGCGATTTTCAGTGTTACTATCTTGATTTGGGTTTGAATGCCATCGTAGTTTGGAACTGCATCCTAACGTTTCGCCAGCACGAGTGGCTGGCTTCTTCAGCTTTTATTCATTTTGATGATTCACCGAAGACTGGTGATTTCTAGTTTGTAGGTTGTATTTATGTTGACTCAGGTAGTCCGTCTCTCTTGTTGATGCGTTGCTATTGGCCGAAGTGTTATTACCTGTTAATGACATAACTTTTCATTGCGCTGTTACCACTTTAGCATCTATCAGTATGGGATTCCAAATCCAGTTAAGCGTTAACGCCTCCTCTTTTCTGTTGTAGTTTTCCGTATGTCTATAGATTGCTATGGCATCCCGTACAAGCTACTGTAGTATCCATGATCAGGGGCAAGTAGTTTCACATCTTCAAATAGTATCGTGTGATCTCCTTCACTAAGTACGTGTTCCGCTACTGCCTATTTGTCTATTTGACCCGATCTACTTTTTCTCCGATGTTCATTCAGCCTTGTACCAACGGATCCTTTGGTGGTACCAATATGAACTTTTTCGCAGGTGCATGGTATACGATATACCCCTGCAGCTGATGGTGGATCTCTGTTGTCTGAGTCAACACACATACAACCTACCAACTAGAAATCACCAGTCATCGGTGGATTACCAAGATGAATAGACCTCTGAAGAAGCCAGCCACTCGTGCTGGCGAAACGTTAGGATGCAGTTCCAAACTACCACGGCCTTCAAAACCTGAATGAAGAAACAATGAAAAATAATTGAAACTCTGGTTTCTTGATTATATTGGCAGTAAGTTTACTATGTAGAAAGTGTATCAAATTATAGAAGATAATTCGATACATTAAATTCTTCCACCCATTCCTAGAACTTATTGTATACTCATGTACAAATCACAAAATAATTTACTGAACAAAAATTTACCACCCAACATTTTGACTCGTTGAAAAATGCTTTCAGTTGCTTAATCCACATTGAAAT